GCACTGCTCTCCCCATGGCACAACTCTTTCCATGGCACTGCTCTCCACATGGCACTGCTCTCCCCATGGCATTGCTTTCCCCATAGCACAGCTCTCTACATGGCATTGCTCTGCCGATGGCACTGCTCTTCCCACAGAACATCTATCCCCATGGCACATCTCTCCCCATGGCACATCTTTCTCCATGACACTGCTCTCCCCATGGCACTGCTCTCCCCATGGCACAACTCTCTCCATGGCACTGCTCTCCCCATGGTATTGCTCTCCCCATACCACATCTCTCCCCACAGAACATCTATCCCCATGGCACAGCTCTCCCCATGGCACTGCTCTCCCCACAGAACATATATCCCCATGGCCCATGGCACAGCTTGGCACTGCTCTCCCCACAGAACATCTATCCCCATGGCACATCTTTCTCCATGGCACAGCTCTCCCCATGGCACTGCTCTCCCCACAGCACATCCTTCCCCATGGCACTGCTTTCACCCTGGCACTTCTTTCCCCACAGCACACCTTCCCCCGTCCCAGCTCTCCCTGGCAAAGCTCTGCCCCTGGCACATACGTCCCTGCCATCCCCCCCTCCGGTGCCTTTCACCGGGCGAGACAAATATTTTCGCAGTTAATTATTAGCTGCTCTGACTTTCTCAGGGTGGCACAAGGAGAGTGAGAGGAGTTGAACTGTAAACCCAGCAGCTCCTCCGAGCCCTCGGCACCGGCGTCAGCAGCACGGGACATGCCAAGACCTTTTCCAGCAGAACAACAGAGGCTTTGTAGGAGGTTGTTATTGCCGCTGGGATCCGCCGGGATCCGAGAGGAGCAGCAGCTCCGAGCGCAGGCAGAGCTTCAGCCTTTCCAAGCCCAGCGCGTCCCAGCACACGCCGCAGCAGTTTGCCAGCCCCTGTAAACTGCATCCTGGGGGGATGGACGTGTCCCAGTGCCTCATCCCACTCGGAGTGACACTTCCACGAGTCCTGCGAGCCACCAGCACCCAGCGAGCTGCTGGGGCTGAAG